TAAACCGTAGGCAGAGAGGGAGAAGAGGACAACAAACGAGGGGCTGTGACAAACTGTTTCGTCGGAGTTTCACCGACTCATCAGGAGGCTGAACCCTCAACAGTCTGTAGAATCCCCTCACTGATTACACTGCAAGTGATAATCCACCTTAACCAAAATCAAAGTAGACTATCACTCACCCACACCAGATGGAAAACTCTACAGACTGTCATAGATATCCAACATATGATAATTATCATTATAATAATAATTATCATATTGTATATCTTTCACTTAGAATTAGTTCACAGAATAAATTTATTTCTTAACGGTGCTTTTATGATTCATTCACTTTTATTATCTATTTGACGATATATATATAGTCAAAAGTCAAACAGAGCTGCCCGGTAAATATGTATATCATCAATCACACCAGATGGAAAACTCTACAGACTGTCGGTTCACACCCCATCACAAGCCAGCAAAACACCCACGAAACAAAGAAAGGTATGTCACAGCCAAAATACACTTCAGACACGCCACTGGCACTGGAGGCACAGCATGGCCGTGTAGCGACGGCCCCGACCACTGCCGCTCGACCTGACCGGAGAAAACCGTAGCAGGGTGCTAGCAAAATCGTGGTATACATCGTCAAACAGAGCTGCCCACTAAACCTTAGGCAGAGAGGGAGAAGAGGACAACAAACCAGGGGCCGTGACAAACTGTTTCGTTGGAGTTTCACCAACTCATCGGGAGGTGGAACCCTCAACAGTCTGCAGAATCCCCTAACCGATTACACTGTAAGTGATGATCCACCTTAACCCTGGCTGTGGTTAATGCCCGACAACTGATACCCTGAGGTGGGCACCAACCACTTCCCTCAAGGTACCTGTGATGAAAATCAAAGTAGACTATCACTCACCCACACCAGATGGAAAACTGTACAGTTCACACCCCATCACAAGCCAGCAAAACACCCACGGAACAAAGTAAGGTTTGTCACAGCCAAAAAATACACTCCAGACACGCTGCTAACACTAGAGGCACAGCATGGCCGTGTAGTGACGGCCGCCGCAGGTACCTTGAGGGCAGTGGTTGGTGCCCACCTCAGGGTATCCATTGTCGGGCAGTCGTTGATGCTTAACCACAACCGGGATTAAGGTGGATTATCACTTACAATGTAATCAGTTAGGGGATTCTGCAGACTGTTGACTGTTCAGCCTCCTGATGAGTCGGTGAAACTCCGACGAAACACTTTGTCACAGCCCCTCGTTTGTTGTCCTCTTCTCCCTCTCTGCCTACAGGGGGAGTTGTAAGGAAGAAAAAAAGGAATTCATTTTTTCCTTGTTTTTTTTCTTTTTCCTTTTTTTTTGTTTTTGCGCTCTGATATTCTTGTGACAATATATATATATAGCCTCTCGTTTGTTGTCTTCTTCTCTCTCTCTGCCTACGGTTTACCGGGCAGTTCTGTTTGTGACGATATA